ATTACAATTCAGCTTTAGCTAAATTTTTATTAAATAAAATTTTTACAACTCTTAACCAGCTTTCTAACAATAAGGCATATAGTCTATTTGGAATTAGCTATAAAATACTAAAACAAACTAATCCTGCCTTTCTTCAAACAATAACTGCCTTTTTTAATTAATGCATTTAAACTAATTGTATATCTAAGCAATAAAAAAAAGATTGTATTTTTCAATATCTAATAAACTTATCTTTAATAGAAACTTATCTAATACAAGACCTATTAGCCTAGTTGAATATATTAAAAAACTATATATCAAACTTCTTACTAATTATCTTAATCTAATATTTATTTAATATCCAATCTTATTCCTTTATAATTATATTATTCTACTTGATAACAGTACTTTTACTTCTATATATATACTTAATAATATTATTAAAAATGCTAGTTACAATAACAAACAACTCTGATTTTTGTTTTAAAATATAAGCAAAACATACAATTCTGTTAACTTTGATCTTTTTACTAAGTTTTTCAAATATATATCAATGCTTCAACCTCTTATTAATATACTTATAAATCTCTTTACTAATCATTAAAACTGTGTTATATTTAACTTTGAACTTACTAATCTTTATTTAGTTAAAAATGATATAGACTAAGAAAAAACTATAACTATCTTATTTTGGAAAATTTATTATAACCTCTTAATTAATAGAATAGTATTACAATTTCAGAATATTCTTTGTCTACATTCTGGAAAACCAACTTATACTTATCTTAAACTCAATACTTAAAAACATTTGTATCAGTTTTAGTCGATATAAATAACACTCTTTGGATTACAAAATCCAAAAATAAACTTAATCTAATAACCAAAACTGCTACTCCTTTTACTATATAACAATATTCAAATTAATTCAACTAAGCTACAAATTCTTTTACCATTTCTTTATGATTCTCTGAATCATTAATTTACTCTATTTTTAAAAACCAATTGTTCAAGTTTCTTGAACATTGGTTTATACTTAACAATAAACATTCTTAAATCATTAAACTAATAAAAGAAAAGGCTTTTAGCCTCATTAATATAGCTAATACAAAGAAAATCATTGACAAACAAATTGCTTACATTATTAATACAGTTATTATTCTAATTTTAGAATACAGACTTCATAATATAATTCTTTCTTATACTGTATACAACTAAATCTTATTCAAATACCTTATTATAACTAAACACAAATTTCATTTTTCTAGATCTATACCAAACAGTACAATGCTTAATCCATTCCTATACAATATATATAATATTTGAAATATTTAACTCTAGTATCATATTTTTAATAAATTAACAATTTTGATCTTTTTGATATTACAACTTAAATTAGACTTCAACAGTTACAAAACAACTTATAGTCTCTTATTAGCATATTACATTACTCCAAACCTACTATAGATGGTCTTAACAGATATTTATTAAATTTTAAAATTACTCAACTTCTTTTTTATTTTAGATTAACTATTTTAATTAATTTCAGCTTGACCTGGGCTTACACAATTAGTAATAGTAGCTAATTACTAGAATCTATTCTAGCACAGTATTCAAAATATTTAACCTTTAAAAAGCAACTTAGACAATCAAATATTATATACTTTAAACAACTCTGCATAGCAGATAATAGCACTTTATTTAACTGAAAACATCTTTTACCAAGATTATTATATCTACCTAAAGGCAGAAAACCTTTTTGGTTCTCTTATTTAGAAGATATAATTTTAGCATACTCCTATTATTAAACTATTTTACCATATTATCAATTATCAGATCACAACTCTTATACTTATCATACTATTAATATATCTAAAAAACTTACTAAATCTAAACTTTAATTACTCTTATATTATAATAATGAAATTATTATTAGAAAGATATGAAAATATTTTTTATCTTTCAATTACTACTCTATTATTTATTGAATCTCTAATTTAGACTTAAACTATATAAAATTTTACACTTTACTCTCTGTTGACTATAAATAATATACAAAATACTATCTTAATTCTTATAGAATTAACTAAACCTATACTGTTAAAGTTTCTGTAATTATTTCTATACAATTTTTTGGCAAAACTAACTCAAAGCATCAACTTAACCTTAATGCCAATAATTTGAACCTTACTTACTTTACAGCTGTTAAATATCCAACTTACATTTCTTTCTCATCTAACATCATTATTATTAACTTAATTATTTCTAAAATCTTTACTCCAAGTAAATCTACTAACAAACTTATATCTATTTTATATTACAATCTTTCTTACTAACAAGTATCTTTCTATACTAATGGATCTATAATTGATATTGGTATTAACCAATACATAATGGGTATTAGTTGGATCCAAATTGATAATAATAATCAAATTATTAATTTCTTTTTTACTAAAATTAAATTTTGACTCTTATCTTACAAAGCAAAACTTCTCTCAATTATTACTGCAATTTTAACAGCTTCTTGAAACTGTATTATTAACATCTTTATTAACTTTTAATCAGTAATTTCTAAATTTAATAATTTTTAATTTAAGCCAATCTATTTTAGCAAGCTACTCAAATTTAATTTATAATTAATTTGGTATACTCTTTTAAATATTATTAAATTATACAAATTACAAATTCCTTTTTACAAAACACAGACTCATTCAAACAACTATCTTAGTAAGCAAACAGACTTTCTTATCAAATAACATCTACTGTTACTACTTCTTTCATTTAACTATACAAATCTTTACAATCTTTATCATATTCTTTAATAAGAACATTATTATATAAAACTTCCTACAAGACACTTTATTAAATAAATCTGTAAAGCTTACATCTTAGCTATATAGGCATTACAAAAACAAATTAGTGAGTAGTCATACTTCAACCAAAATATTGATTAAAGATCCACTTGGCTTTACTTTAATTATAATCAAAAACTTTTATACAATATTACTAATTTTTGACTTAATTAACTAAAATCTTTTAAAACAAAAATTTTTCTTAATAAGTTACCAATATATTTATTATATTATACTATTTATTTAAGCCAATATCTAAATACTATTTGCTTCTATTGCAATCTATTTAATTTTTATTTCTACTGATATACTTATGCTAATCTATTTTTACTTGATTAAATTATTCAAACCTCTATTAACTAAATTATCTATAATAATTTGCCTAATCTTGATATTTATCAAAAATATAATCTAATTAACAAAATCTTTTATCATCCAATTCTTAATTCTTTATTACATTATCTAATACTTACTATTCTAATCTTATTCTCAAAAGACTTATTCTAAAGTCTCTTATATTAATAATTCAAAATTTTAATATTTCATATAAAACTGATTTTCAAGTTATTATTGATATTCTTCTTAATATTAATAAACAATCATATGAGTAACTATGAAAAACATATTGCATTTATTTCTTTAATTAGAAAAATCAACAAAATAAATTCTGATCTCAACAAATTAACCAACCTTAAAGATTATTCAATTTAACTAGAAAACATACACACTCTTAAAGAGATTATACTTACTTATACCTTTGTAAACTTTTCAATCAATTACATTTTTACTCAAATACATGTCCTCCTATTGGCCAAACAATTTACAAAATTAACATTTGGTCTGTCTTATGAATTAAATATAATATATCATCAAATTATATATTAAACATCCAAATCTAAGTGAGTTTTGACTACTCTAGTAGATTAAATCACAAATAAACTAGTCTGAACTTTTATTCTTGCATGTAATTTTCAATTTATTTGTTTTATACAAATAGTAATAACTATATAATTAGCAGTTTAATGGTTAATCCTGACTGCAAGTGTTGGCCTCAACCATAGCATATATATGCAACTATTTTAAAGTATTAATAAAGATATGTATAAGCAAGACCTCACCTTAATATCAAAAAAAAAAAAAATAAATAGTAATTATTTTGTTAACAAAGTAATCCTGATTATTTCAGTTAGAATTAGAGTTAATATTAATATAATTTTTTTAAAAAAATAGGTAATAAAATGAACTATCAATAAAATAGTTATAAGTAAAATAATTTTAATAAAATAGTTTTTGGTAAAATAGTTGTCAGTAAAATGGTTTTTAGTAAATGTTGTTAATAAAATAAACTTGTCAATAAATTGTTGGTAAAATGGATTGTTGGTGAATTGATTGTCAGTACAAACACCCCATGTACAAATAAAAATTCTCTAAAATAATTGGTAGCCAAATCTTATGTGTTTGTATAGAGTTGTGATGATATGGAAGGTGATTGTATAGGAGAACGACTGTAAGTTCGGTATAAAAGTGCAATGACCCTTAAGAAAATAGTAAGTTTTTATAGCGACCTTTTTTTCTTCAGTTTGTTATATAAGGAGTTGACTATAAAAATTTATAACCAAAGGTCATTTGAATATTATTTTAAAAAATATACTGTAAATCGGCTTCTGAAATTTGCGAGCATCGATATGCGGACTTTCGGACACGAAATCTCGTGTAACCATAAAGGACCTCGCGAGAAGTTCATTGAATAATCCTGAAATCGCGATAGTGAATTTTCAAGAACATCATAACGTGAAAATCCAAAAAAGTCTTTAGCAACTTCTTAAACCTTCGCTTTATTAAGAAGTATGACTTGAGAGATTTTGCTTTAATATTTAATACATTTTAATACATTTAATACGAATTTTGTAACTAAATTAAACTAAAATAAATCTCGAAACCCTTCTAGAAGCTCTCACTATATCCTACAAAAAATTAAAGTTTATAATACTTATAGTATGTGAAATTATTACCGCATTATCTGTTGTCGTTATTTTTACGTATTATCTCTATACCCAGTTATCAAAATTTCAAAATATATCACGTGCGATTAAAGACAATCAATAAGTGTGACGTAAGGCGCATATATTTAATTAAATATTCAAAATCTTTGACGCTCTCTATCCGGTAAAGTCATGTCACCACCGCGTCGCCTCAGTTCACGAAGTAGCAAAAAAGCTACCGCTGATTTCGGAAAGCCGTTTATTAAACCACCACGCGCACAAAATACCATTCCTGTTCAGTATACTGAAACGAAACCGAAAGATGCGTGGGCTACTCTCGTGCCCTCGGGTGATACGTGTAATAGCTTAATACCTATTTATTTGACTGACAACACTCATTACTTGGGAACTCAGCCAGAAGATGGTGTTTTTAAGGTAACTATTTATATACACTATTTTTTATATATTTTTCTTTTTCTCTAAATATATATACATACACGCTCTAATCTACTATTTGTTTAGCGAATATTAGCTGACCCTAGAATCGACGTGGTACACTGTGCTATCTTTAAAGTATGTATAATATTTTATTTATTATGTTAATATAATTATAATTATACATATTTTTTAAAAAATTTTTTCTAATTTTTATAATTGTTATATTTCAAATTGTTAGGAATATAAAGAGGCTATAGGAACTGTTGTAAAATTACAAAATTTAAGGTATTCATTCTATTATTTATTTATTTTAATCTGTTTACTATATTTTTACTGAAAAATTAATCATCATTTTTTTCCAGTCAAGATGGTGCTGTTCGGGTTTTAGACCGTGATCTAATGTCTAAACAATATGTTGAATTAAAAGATGGCGATTATATACGATTCCCTTCTTCAAAAGGTTATTGGTATATTTATAGAATTGAGATCGATTTAAAGTCAAAGGTGATGTTTCATAGTGTATACGACATTAAAGGTGCTCTTGGAAAAGGTCACTTTGCTGAAGTAATGTTGGCTACTCCAAAAAATTCCATCGCTGGTAATGAATCAAAATTACAAGAATATGCCGTAAAAATCATTGATAAAAGTAACGTGTCGAAAAATTTTAACGAACAAAAGCTTCATGACGAAATTATAATAATGTACAAGATTTCTCATGTAAGCTTTTAAATTAATTTTATATCTGGTTCCTTTTTATTGATTTCTTTTTTTGACTATTTTTGGTTTAATAAGCCATCTTTAGTACGCATATATAACTTATATAATGAGAATGATAAATTATATCTCGTTATGGAATATGTTAAAGATGGTGAATTCTTTGATTTTATATCACAAAGAAAGAAATTATCTGAATATGAAACCCGCATTGTTTTTAAACAATTGTTCGAAGCGATAAAATATCTACATGGTCATCGTATTGCTCATCGAGATCTTAAACCTGAAAATATTCTCATGTCAAGTGCTGCAAAACTCGAAGTTAAAATTTCGGATTTTGGTTTATCTAAACTACTTGGCCCTGAACATTCATTAATGAAAACTCTATGTGGAACTCGTCTTTACGTTGCTCCTGAAATCATCGCTCGAACACCTAATCGCAGTTATGGAAGAGCTGTTGATATGTGGAGTCTTGGTGTTATTCTATACGTCTGTCTTTGTGGAAATTTACCATTCGCTGATGAATTGGGCCCTCCAAGTCTCCTTGATCAGATTAGATTAGGAAAATATAAATTCCATTCCCCTGCATGGGACGATATTAGTGTTGATGCAAAGAATTTGATTAAAGGTTTATTAACTGTTAATGTAAAAGATCGGTTAACAGTTTCACAAGCTTTGGCACATCCGTTCATGCAGGTATAAATATTTTTTTTTACTTATTACTTTATGTTTATCTCTTACTATTTTACTTATTTTTTTTTCATCAGACATTACCTTTACCTCAACCTATTTCAAATGCGCCAATTTTGGCTCACGGGAATGAAAACATCCCTCAAGATAAAAAATGTACAAAAAGTTGTACAGAAAAAATTTTGTCTAAACTTACGGTTTCTAGTAATGCAGATTTTGCTGATGATGAGGCATCATTCGTTACTGCAGGCATAATTGAATTATCAAGCTCTTCCTCGCAATCATCTGGCTCCGAAATTCAATATCTTTGTTGTGAAGCTTCTTATTTTTCAGAAATTTAATTTCTCAGTTATGACATTAATTTCTTAATCGGTTTACATATATGGCTAGATTCACTTTTTTTTTCTTACACATTTAAAACCCCCAAATTAATGACTAGCTTCATCTCTAAATTTGAATATATTGATTTTTTTTCATCAATTTTATAATGTCGTATTAGCGTAATATTCTTAATTATTCATTATACTACATTAATACGTACATTAATTAGACAGAGTTGCTCATCTCATGACGCGTAATAAATCTTTCTTTTTTTGACAAAATGCTTGTTACATACTGTATTGACGCAGTTTATATATATCATTAATGCAATTTTTTCTAGTCATTGTCTGAAAATCATCTGCAGAATGAGGTTTATGATATTGCATTTACCGTCATTATATTATTAATCAAATGTAAAAAAATTTTTTTATCTTTATTAATTGTCTTTTACTTGCTATAGATAAAATTTTTATAAACTCAAAGTTTTATAACTATTTTAAATATTAATTTGCATTCCAATTAGAATCTTCTGTACAACTTCAAAAGTTTAGGTGTGTGTGGACCCAATCAAATTATTTAATTATTTCCGGCATTTTTGCAATAACGTGATGCGGCGCATAAGGAATCAACCAATCAGAAAGCGTAAATTTGGATCGTTAAAAAAACACAAAAAAGTGAATATACTCGAATAATTGATGTTTAATTGGGTTTGGGATATTAATTAAAAGTAATAGAAACATAATTTTATATATAAGAAGTTATGTTTTTTTGATTTTTTTTAAAAGGTATTAAAGTAAGGTTATGTTTTAAACTTTATTGAAATTTAAGTGAAGTTTTTGTAAAGAAAAGCTTGGTTTTTTAAATTGCATATGGGGTGACATTAATAGAAATAGAACAAATTTATTAAATAGATTTGTTTTATTTTTATTGATGTCATCTTATATAAAAAATAAAGATTCAGATATATAATCTATAATTAATATTTTAAATTTTTTTTTTTAAGATAAAGTTTTTTTTGTAATTTTATTAAATATTTTTTTTTTTGGTATTAAGATGATCTTTTAGTTTTTAATTTTATTAATATTTTTAGTAATGGTGTTTACATAAAATTACTATAAAAAGTACAACTGGTTATACATATAACTTTTTTTTTGATATTAAGGTGACCTTTTTGGTCTTTTGACTTTTATTAATCACTTATTGGTATTGTGGTTCAATGAACCACTACAGAAGAGTGTACAATTGGCTACATGTGTAACTTTTCTATATTACCTATTTAAGGAGTCTGCTCGAAGGTTTCCTACTAATTGTCATACCTAACACCTCTGCTTGGATGTTCTACTTTAAATCTTCTGAACCTGTAAACTGTGTTAACATCACTAGTCATCTCAGATATACCAGATCATCATCCTCAATCTTAGAACTAATTTATCCTTAAGATAAACCTTCCAGAGTCTTCTATATCCATTTTTACAGTTGACTTAGATATCACTATGGTAGAACCAACACTTGCAGTCAGGACTAATCATTAAACTACTATGTCTTTATAGAGTTCACTTAGATCCCAACATCTACTTCACAGCATAACCCTAGTACTTTAGTATACCCTGTTTTTTTCCCTGCCTTTTTACCAAACTCCCAATCCAAATAGCTCGTGTAGGACTACAACCAGTCCATCAGTATATCAGATCAGCCTGATATCCTTTTCTTCAGTTCATTATAGCAGCCTGGTTGGTGATACTTCTGAGACTCTCAACCTAAAGGTTCTTGCCCGTCTGGCTACTAGAACCGGGTACTAGGCCTGGGTATCTGTTTCACCAGGCTAGTCTTTACAGTAGGGCAGTCAAAGATTCAGCTACCTCTCTACTTGGGTCTTCCTAAATAGACTTCTTGTTATCCAATTTCAATGGATTTACACAGCCACAAGGACTTATCTAGTGTTTATACTGTCCGATTTGTCAGTTTGCATTCCTCCATGTAACTTCAACATTGCACAGATGCCCCATGACCTGCCAGTCATGCTGGTGTGACAGCCATTACAGGTATCCTAACCTAATCATTAGTAACAGTTGTTATAATATGAATATTACATAGGTGATTATCCAAATTTTCACTGTCGATGGGATTTGAACACCCAATCTACTACTTGAGGGTTGATAACCTGGCCACTTCACTAGGTCACCACACCTACATATAACTTTTTTATATTATTTATTTAAATAGTTTATTTAAAGATTTTTTATCTAATATTTTTGTTTGAATGTTTTATTTTAAAGCTTTTAATTTTATATTTTTAGTATTAACTTTACTAAGTTATAGAAATATTTTCTTATGTTTGAATTTTTATCTCTATTTTAGAATTAATTTATTTTTAAAAAAATTTTTTTAGTCTTTTATATTTTATTTATAATTGATCTGATAATATTATAACTAAAACTAATACTTGTAATTAAGATTAATTATTAAATTATTATATTTTTGTAAAATTTATTTAAACTCTAATATTATTTATTTTTTTAATATTTTTTCTTGCTAATTTTCTAAACTATTAATTTAAATAATCTAGTAAACTTGTAACTAAGTTCTTAATATACAATTAAAAATTTTATTCTTTTAGTAAATTTTGGCAACTTAGTTAGTTTGTATTGTTTTATATATATATGTATTATTTAAAGTTATTTTAAATATTTTTTTTTTTGTTAAAGGCTATACTTGTAGTGATACTTTATTGATTTTATATTGAGTTAGCTATTACAACTATTTTTACAGAGATAAGAGTACAGCTAGTCATGCATGCAACTTTTGGGTACTTATTTAAGTAGTCTGCTCTAAGGTTCTACACTAATTGTTGTACCTATAAACTACTAGGAGATTATCTATTTAAACTCTTTGATTATCTGTCCTGTTATATTGGAATTTCCAACTTACCCTCTGTATATACCTAACTGATATACCATCTAAGCAGTATGCTTACCTACTTTTTTTGTACTGGTTTTCAAATCATTATATATTTCAGAGTACATTACTTGCCAGTAAGGTGCAGAGAGCCTTCTGTTGTTAACTATCTACCCATTTTTAAAACACTAATACAAGCTACCTTTACAAAGTTTACTCAAACCCTAGCACTGACTTCACAACATATCTCTAGTACTTTTAGTATACCTCTGCTTTGAATCCAGACTCTTAATTTAGATAGCATAAAAGAACTGTAACCTGTCCTGGTATATTAAGGCCAGTTCAATATTCTTTCTTCTAGTTCAAAATCTAACAGCCTGGTTGGTGATTTTAAGTATCTATTAGTTTAATAATACTGTTAAAAGTTTGTATTATTTTTTATTTAAAATTTTTAAATAGAATTTTATTTCTTTAATTTCTTAGTTTTTTATATTTAGTAGTTTTATTATAAGTTTACATTAAAGTCTTATATAATATTAGTTTTAATATTTCTTTATATATATAATATTATACTTTATATAAATATATTAGACTCTTATCTAAGTTAGTATATTTAAGATTACTAATATATTAATTTGACTAATTATCAAGAAACAGTTTACTGTAATATAGATATAATTTTTTCAAATTTTATTATTCATAATATTTGAATACTAGATTTACTATTTAAGAGTTAATAACTTGTTTATTTTATTAAATTGTTATATTTTTTATTAAATAATTTATAAAATAGTAATATATAAGCAATATATATATTTTTATTATTTATTTTTTTTTTAAATGTTAAGGTGAGTACATGTGACCCAGGATTTTACTGATAGTATAAGTTGGCTAGCATCTGTACATGTACAGACACAGAGGCAATTACAGAAAGAGTATACAACTAGCCACTCGTACAACTTTAGTCATTGTCTAATTTAAGTAGTCTGCCCAAAGGTTCTACACTAGTTGTTATACCTAGAACCCACCTGTAGATCCTCTATTTAAACACTCTGATCCTGCATCTACCACACCCTACCAGCAATTCCAGTAAATCAGTGAAGATATGCCATGGTTACTAAGTCATGTTTAACTTTGTACTAAACCTACCAGTATGTTCTGTATCCCATACTTACAGCTCACCCAGTCATGCTTTGGCCTAAACTATTACTTGCAGTCAGGGCTATCCATTAAACTGCTTTTATCCTTGTAAGGTTCACCCAAAACCCTGGTATCCATCTTTCTGACGTCCTTTCCATCATCCCCTACTATCTGCTACTCAAGACTGACAGGACTCTCCAGACTTCCAATCCAGATGGCCCAGTATAGTATACCTTAGTATCCTTTTTTTCTGGCGATTCTGGTGGCCTAGTTGGTTATGTGCTCCTTTATACATCTTGCCATCCGATTTATTTGCCTATTCTTTTGGGAGTGTTTTATAGGTTTCATCAGTCCAACAGCACCATTGAAAGTTTTGTGCTACCTCCTTACTTGGGATTTCTAAGTGGGTTTTCGACTCTTTGGTTCCTTTGCTTTCTGCATCTGGTGGTCTTATTGTGAGTTTGCACTAAAGTCTTATGCAACACCGGTTATTAATATTCCTCTATATGGGTGTAATATTATACTTAGTATAGATGCTCCAAGCTCCTATTCGAGATGGTGCAACAAAGGTTACAGATACACCAATCCAACTGATCAACAGAGACAGTTACCATAACACAGACCTATTTTCCAAAATTCGTCGTCCATGGGATTTGAACTCTAGACCTGCCACTTGGGGGTTGACAACCTGACCACTTCACTAGGTCACCACACTCCTTATTTTTATTATTTATAGTAGTGCAAATAAAAAAATTTATATATAAAATAAAATTTAAACAATTAAATAAAATATTTAATTTAAACTATTAAAGTAATCAAAAACTTATTTAAATAATAATATTTATGAATAAAATTAGAAATTATAATATATTTAATCTATAAAATAATTCAAATATTAGTTTTTTTTTAAAATCTAACCAACAGGGATGTGGTGACCTAGTGAAGTAGTCAGGTTGTCAACCTTCTAAGTGGTAGGTTGGGTGTT